AAAATTAGCTTATTCTTTTTCTTTACCTGCGACACGAAATAATCAAGAGCTATGCTTTGGCCGAGCACACTACTGATAATTCGAATGCTATCTATGTCGAGATTTTTCAGTACAATGTAATCTGGACCTCCTTGCATGTCCTCGACTGCTGAAGGCTTCTCTTTCACGGCATAATCTGATAAACACATGGAAATCGAGATTGAAATTAATCACAGACAAATGCTTCAGCCAGTGAAAGTAAAATTAACATTTATTCCTACTGTCATCGGATAAAAATTCTAACAGCTACTCGATTAACACTCGGAAAATTCAATCCGTTCCAAACTTCTTTTGACCCATAATTTTGGATAATTATGAAAGCCACCCTTTAGTTATAGAGTATTTACGAACAAGAAACACGGAGAAGTTCTAAAGATTACTTAAAAAGCCCATTAGGTCTCGTTCTATCTTATTTCCTCCACGAGTAAAAGGCATTTCAGAAAAACCCCTTACACTCATACTTCATAGGGATGTTTGTTTCGGCTAATAATTTAAAGACCTGTCAAGATTTTTACATAAGCACATCAAAAACAAAAGAAAAAAAAAGGAAAAAGAAAGAAAAAGAAGAAGAAGAATGGAGCTTCACCATCTTTTCTAATATCTGTAAGCAGCCCAGAACCATGTCTACTAACAGCTTGCAGGTAAAAGTCAACTTCATGTTCCGGCACATTAAAAAGCACTGCCGAACCATATTGATAAACGACCATATAACGGTAGCCACTCGTACTTTCTCCTACCACACCTCTCTGAAATCAACGAGTTCCCATGAGGTTCAATAAGACAGAGAATACAAGTCGAATACATCAAAAAGAGCTAACAAATCATGGCATATGATTCAATGGACATTCCCCATTTTTTGGAAGCAAATCATTAAGAAAAACAGTTGGTAAAAAGTTAGGATCGGATATGAACGGGCAAAGATGTTCTAAATTAACAAAATATTGCACGAGTGGACTTTTTCTCAGTTGGGAGAATCTCTCTATCGAAAATATCATGTGCCGATATTTATTACATTGAGTTAAAACTGGTAACAAGTTTATTGTGTAGCTAATAACAAATTTAAGGCCACGCAACGTCAAAACTACAGCTGAGATTGTGAATAAGTACAATTACAGCTCTGCCTCATTTCACCATTAATGTAAACACTAACGTCTTATTGCAATGCCTACTATTAGATTATCAAAATAAACGAAATAGAGTTATCAAAAGAGAAAGATAGACAACATTTGCTATAAATAAGAAGTGATAGGCATGAGAAAATGTTCTCACATTTTTCCAGTGGGAATCAGAAAACCTGAGAGCAATAGAATTCAATGAGCGTGAGGTTGGAGGGATGAAATATCTTGAATTCTCAGCTTGCAAACCTTTCAAATCAATACTGCCAGAAGAAAAAAGAGTTTTAGAGACTAAAAACGTATATTTTCAGCCAGACCAACAAGCAGCACAAAATCAACACCATTGTTATTCAAGAATCCTAAAATCATATTGAAAAAAGAGACTGCGAATTACGAAAGGCAAACAGAATTTCGGCATTCCACGAAAAACCCACTAATGGCGCAGAGACTTTTATCACTTGAAACCCATTTTTATTCTTTCCTAAACTATACTTCTCTGCATCCCTGTTAGACAAACATTCACACAAACAGAATCAACTGGTTCCAACATGAAAATGCATGGATAANATAACAATAATACGGCAAAAAAGTTAACTTCATTAAAGCTTAACAAAATGCCCCACCACAAAAAACTTACACTACCCAATATCCCAATACAAATTTGAGAAAAACTCAAAACTTTAAAGGTATTCAAGTGAAAGCTGCAACTCAAGCACGCACTCGAAAAGGTGCTAGACAAATAACCTGGTGCATATAAAAAAAGCTTTAACTGGGATTCTCCCAGCACCATCGTTCTCCGTAAATTCCTCTTCCTCCACAATGCTGTTCTGATCGAAATAATGTAACTTGAGATCAAATTCTTCAGCGAAGTCCGGCGAGGGCGATGGGAGGGCAGAAAATGACCTGAAACGGAGAAAATAATTCGAAATTGGTGATGAATTTGGGAATTCTTGAAAATGGGTTCGGCCTATTTTAGGGATTTTAATCGATTTGGAGGCAGATTTGATAGTGGAGAGTATAAGGGCAGCTCCCCATCTCCCCATTCACTGGGTCTCGCCGTCTCTGCGCAGACTCTTGTGCTAAAGATCCGATTTTTTTTCTTTTTTCTTTTTCCTATGAATTATATGTTCCTATCCTCATTTCGTGTCTTGTGTTTGCTCCATGAGAAGCAAAAAGATTTCTGCTACGTTTTCTGGTTAATTAACGAATGGTGTTGATGAAAAGGGTTTTTGAAGATTAACGAAATGAAAGGGGCAAAATTGATTCTTGCTTGTGTTTGTTTAGCTAACAAGCCACCCGAACTTGTTTAAAGTTTAAACATGTGAAAGTTCGACCCATTAGTTAAATAAATTGTTCTTCAATAATTTAATATTCATATACGAATGAGTTTTACCTCGACAGTTTCATTTAATACCTATCAAACTAGAAAAAAAAACGAACTATTTGCGAACAAGTTGGTTTATAAATCATAAAAATGAGACCTAGAATTCGTGTGGGAAGTTGACATACAAAATCACAAATATTTATGTCGCACTACCCATGGAATAACACTCCATTTTTCGGATTTTTTTTTTATCATAGAATAGTGATTTGAATGTCGACAAATGAAATTTTTTTAAGTGCTACAGGCGTGAGATTCAAATGAATTGATTAAAAATCACTTTGATATGAAATGAAATTAATGGCATATAGTTGCCTGTTGATGTTTTGTACGAGTCCGTTAAGAAACTTATCAAATATGAGTGGAGTTGTAATTAGTTATTGGATGATTTTGATTTAAATGTAAGTTTAAATGATTGGAGATGTGTCAGATTACAGCTTAATTTCTTAGTTCATTATAAAATTTCCAAAATACCTCAGACTGAGAAAAAAAAAATCTTAAAAATAAGCGAACTTGTTATTATGCAAAAATCAAAAATAAGAAACTGATTTAATATGTCATTCGAAACTGGTCCTAATATAATAAGTATGCTACGCAGGCTCCAATGCTACATATAATTTTGGTCAAGTTTCATTTTCTTCGACGGCGAAATAACAAGTTATATTGCAAGGCATGCACAATTCTTTAATTTTCAAATTCCGAGTTGTATAGGGGTGACAATTTTTATCCAAAAACCAAAACGAACCGACTCAATTTTCTTCTCACGCGGTAACTGACTATTTATAAATCGGTTCTATTATCACTTTAGATTTTTTTCTCAACTCTCTAACCTAATCCAAAACAAATCTAATCTAAACTCTTACAAAAATTAAATCTAAAATCCCTAATTCTCACACTCACTTGCCTCGGCATCTCGAAATCGTGGCTTGCGTTGATGAGTTCATCAAGCGCTTAAAGCGCCAATGCAAGGAAGAAGAACTCATAATAGCTTTGAAGTTCACAGTAGAGAGCAGCCATCCTTTAGCTGCATATATTTACTCAGCGAAAGAAATTGTTCAAACAATTATAAGTGAAGTTGACAACCCTTTAGATGATGGCTATAGTTTGCCAAATATATGGCCACAAGGTTGACAAAAGGGAACCCTTAACCAAAGGTGAAATACATCGCACTGCACGTTTTTAGCCTTTCCCGTATTCTGAAACACATTAATTATACCCAGGTGCAATTCCTGAAGCATGTCGAAAAGCCGCAAAGTGACACAAAAGTTGTAATAACAACAGAAGAAGGATAACATAACAGCAGCCAAAATAATAGCACCACTACCAGTAACATTTCTCTCTAAAAACTAGGGTAGTTCACAGGCCAATTTCAAAATAAGTAACAACGGCTCAATGTCCCTTCTCAGGTTCAAAAGACAAATAAAGTGACGTGGTTAAGTATATGAGAATGTGGTGTGGTCGAAAGCCATGATTTTTGCACTGCCTTATATTTGCTCCTATCCATACGTAAAAAGATGCAGCAAACAGGTATTCAAATGCATATGACAAAAAATACCAAGACATGAATTGGATGGTAGTTGAAAAGGGTGAAATGCTACTTACATTTTCCTTCCTTCTCTCTGTGTAAATCTTTTTATAATTTTCTGAAGCTTAAGCGACAGATAGAGTACAAAGTGAAGATGGTCGGTTTGAGCCACTCATTTCTGAAATGGGATGTATTCTGTGATCATTTTGTTTTCTTTTTTGGGTGGATAATAGGGTCTGAATTTTTTTCTACTACACTAGGTTTGCCTGTTAAATATTAAATAGGCCTGTTAAAAACAAACATTTTCTACAGGCTTCTGGCATTCTGCCACATATAACAGTATGAAATATGATACCACTATCGCTATTTGTGTCTCAATGGAATCTTTCTTAGTTTCCTTCAATTTGAAGCATCCATAAGCTTTAGTTATAAATGCTCAATACTATACCAATAATTATGAGTACCCATTGAGAGTCTTGACTTATCATGATTTACTCAATATACATCTCCTTTGGACAATTTGCCAAGTACACATAATCAACTGCAGCATATTATTAACTCAATACGACGAAAATTTAAACACGAATCACCATATAAAGAACCGAGGTTTACTGATTTTGAGCTCAATTCATTTAATGCCGAATATTCAATAATTTTCCAGCATTGAATTCTGTTTATACCAAAAACGAATTAAAACCAACCAGAATAAAAGTATAAACAATAATCGAAAAGTCTACATAATCGGTCCCCTTGCATAAATCCATTATTATACAACAACATACATATTCAACAACCTGACTGCAAAATACGAACAGAAATTAACAAAACTATCCAAAAAGGCATCACTTTTTTTTTTTTCTTAAAACAAGAAGGTTTAAACTGCTAACCTCTCAATCTCGTGCACGTATCTAGACAACATAAACCATATGTGGGACCTTCCCGTCATCAAACGGCAAGCTGATGTACTCCTGAGCAAACTCCTCAGCAATCTCGAACGCTAGCTCACCCCTCAAAGCCTTGCAGTACATAAACAGAACAGTATTTGCGGCTATACTGTAGAGCATCAAGATCGTCATAAAGGCCGTGTAGACCACCGTTTGGAAAACGAAGACCCAGCTGACCCACCGGCCGGCGATGCCGCCGGCCTCCGGCACCAGTGACGAGAACAGTGCCGCCAGGCAACCAAGAAGCATCCCAAACAGTAGGAACATCCGCAACGCGACCCGTCTCATCCCGTGCACCAGATACGAGCTCCTTCTCAGAGGTGCAAAACCCCACTGTGATTCAACAACCACAATCACGCTCGATAAACACCACTCCACGCGCAGGTAAATCCACGCGGCCAGGACAAGAGCGGCTACGGCGAAAGCAAATACCATGAAGTAGACGTTATCGTACTCGATTTCAAACCCTAAGAGCGATACCCCGCTGTAAACCATCGCCGCGAAACCCCCAAATGCAAGGACGACAAGCCCTAGGACCAATTGGGTGACGATTAGTGTTGCGATTAAGGGGAAAATGGAAAACACGATGGATTTTATCGAGGAAACGAATTTCACCGGCCGGCCGTAGAATCCATGGAAGGTGCTGTAGGTGATCGACGAGGTGGCGCAGAGGGAGAGGATGAAGACGAATAGTCCGTAGAGGGTCGGGAGGACGAGATCCGATTTGTGGATCGGCGGCGAGTCGGGATCCGGCGAGGTGAAGACGAAGGATAGGGTTTGGTGGTAGTGAGAGAGAGTGGACGAGGAGCGCGTGATGGAAGGGTAGACGATGAGAGAGAAGGAGAGAGGGAGGAGGAAGAGGACGGAGAGTGCGAGGAAATGGCGGGAGTGTGCGCTGATGATGCGCTTGGTCTCGTATAGTACGCCGGAAAGGTTCAGGCCGTGGGTCGCCATGGTCGCCGCCAAAGGAAGAAGATGGATTTTTGGATGAAAGATTTTTCTTTTTTTNTGTGTGGTGAGGGGTTTTCAATGTAGTGTCATTCCTTATTTTATATTTTCCAAGAATAAATTAACAATAAAGCTCAATTGTGTTTGAACTTGATTGAATCATTGAACTGATTTTTTTGTAATAGTTCCCCTTTCTTGAAAGTTCTGCATTACCAAAAAATTATAATTTAAAATTTTAAATTATTAGGAAAAAAAATATAGTACCTATATTTAATTGAGTTGTCACACTAATTTTAATTTGATTTGACTCATTAAAGTTCAAACACAAACTCAGTCTAACTTGTTAAGGTTCAAAAAGATTTTTTTTAATTTTATATTATTAAGCTCGTTTAGACATACATACCGCTTGTCAATATTTATAACAGAGTCATACACGAACTCATTTATATGAACATTTACACAACTCGATAAAGACTCGACACAAGCTCAAATATCCAAAGCTCGAACTCAGCACTACTCATTAATATTTTTCTAAGTCAAACAAAAAATGAAAAAAACTATCGCATCTTCTCAGTGAGACAACCTCATCGACCCATCTTTTTTTATTTTTGACCAAACATATACTTGTATTATAAATTTCATACTTTCACTTTTTAGAATATGTTATTTTAATTCAAGAGATGAAAAAAAAAATGTAAATATGATTAAATCATCAGTAGCCTAACATAAAACCTAAATCCATTTTTATACACACCATGACATAATTTATCTGATTCTGACTTCTCCCTTCTCAAATTCTCTCTCCCTTCTCAATGCTTAATATTCTATTCTTAGGTAGCACAATATTAAATGAGGACAGCAATTTACAAGTAATCATCTTAAATGCTCCCAGCTCCCATGTGACTCTTTTTCAAGATTCTACCAAATCAAATTTTCAAGATTCTACCAAATCTAAGAGGATGCTCCTATACAAATCTAACTAAAAAAAATTCAAATATTTTTAATTCTAACCACTTTTTTAACTCAAATTTAATTCAATATCACTATCATCAATATAATTAAATATTACCAACCAATCATTCTTACACATCACATCAATTTTAATTCACTATTCATCCACTCACATAATTTTAAATAACCATCATTTCAAATCATCTCTTCTACTTTTACATCAAATCAACTTTAATTATTTTATTTTAAATGTTATTTTAATATACCCACTAACAACTACCAAATCAAAAAATTCAATCAAATAAAAAAAAATTTATATCCAAGCATTGCCTAAACTACTCTCAGAGTTAAAAGGAGTAGCATTGTAACATTTATCAGTAACTTTACTCTTTACATATCCAGTGCACAAAAGTTACTGAAAAAATCCGGGTAAAAAATGTAAGGGGATGGTCAATGATTTCAGGCTTCCGGTTAAACCTCCGCTACCGGTAGTTCAAGTAGCTCTCTTATTCCTTCACAAACCTGCATGCAACCAAGGAATGTATTTGTCGAGTGAGTACACGAAAAATTGCTCCGAAGTTTACATCTTTCACTTTTAAATATTTCAGATGGTCACATAACAAGATGTGGCTGAAGTAGAACTGCTGGAAAGAGTAGAGGAGCATAATTACCATTTTAATCTGAGCTTTAATTGATGCGATTAAACGTGTATAATCGTCTATTTGCCTGCAAATAAATAAGAGAGATTTACCTCACCACAAGGAAATTAAAAGCAAACCTTATAGAAGCACAAAGTTTCTAAGAAGAGTAGCTACTTGACAACATGAAGCATAGGCCAAACGAAAGAAAGAAAGAAAAAAGGTCTCAACGTGTTTTCCGTTTGGAAGAAAAAGGGCCCACAACAATTTAAGCTGTGCATTTTGATACTTCAAGATTGTTGTAATCTATAGTTCGTGCAAACAACAATTAATCTGAGATTGGGACAATCAACGATATTTACATTGCTCGAGTTGGAACTTGATATTGTGCCAACCAACAATATATAAAACGGTTCTTCTTATAATTTGTAAACTAAAAGTACCTGGATAAACTTTCTTCCCTGGTTGCTATGAAGTTAAGAGCTTCAGTCCATGTAAATTCCACGTGAAATCCAAGGCCAACATCTACAAATATATGTCGGGTATCTGGACTGGAAAATTGCAAAAATAAAAAAATAAAAATAAAAAAGTATCCAACAAGGGCTTTAATGTACAATCATAATACTTCAGTAATCAGCAATTGATAATTGATAATCCAGATCGAAATGTCTAACAAACTGTAATCAATTTTCAGAAGACTAGTAGTAATATCATAAAATTTTCCAATGTTAATACACTAATACGAGTGTAGTAGCAAACATATTTTCCCTATCCCTCCACTATACTTATTGACACATCTAAGACTGAAATTATAATTTAAATAAATACTGGAGATTATAGTTTCAAAATCCTCTCATGAATAATTTGAAATAGAATGCTTTAAGGTTCTTGTCGGACAAAACCAAGAACAGCATTTTAGTCTATCTTAATAATGAATATGCACTTTTCTCATGCAAACAAGACAACAATCTCCAGAATGAGGCATTAGTAAACACCACAGCAAGATATCGAAGCATAGAGCATACACATCAGCTTGCACATAGACTTCAGAACCAATGTTGACCCGTGTCCTTAAACTAGTCACACTGTTCTTCTCCAGATTCTCGATATTTCTCCTTAGTTCAGAGCTACAAAGGATTGATTTAAGAAAACAATGAATAACGAAATTATACACGTTTGGTCACAATGCCATATTCCACTATTCTAACAAAACCGATGAACCCTGATTTGAAACAATACTAAAACAAGAGTTGCTACTAGCTAAGGATACAATATCTTCTGCTGCTCAAAAACCTTGTCCCTGCAAAAGAATATCACAAGACATCAACATAATTCGATTTGGGACAAAATCATTGAATGCAAGTATCGCAATCAACAATAGGAAGCTTAGTAGTGTACTGTACAACATTAAGATTCGAAACACAATCTGCGCTGAAAATAATCACGGGTTCTGTTCTATCAGAATACCGTTCGGCAATTGCGCGCACAAGATCGGGTTTCAATCTCTGGTCAACAAATTCCTCAAACTTTCTCACTTTCTCTTGCCGAGCACTGTCCATATCAGCCCTAGATAAGCCAAATGAAAAGGGGGTTTTCAAAAAACAGAACAGACAAAATATCGAGCTTTGTAAGAAACATTTTGGCTTAATCATTCAAATTACAGCACCAAACTGAAAGGGAAAGCGNAATACATCGGAAATAAGTTCAAAACACATTGCTAGGTATATACATGCCCCGGCGAAGTAATGATGTGGAAATCGCTATATATTTAGGAACAGGGGTAGATTAATAGAAATAGGATAGATGAATTATATTAGCACGTTCCGGTAGATATAACTTGAGCCGCCGGACGGTGGTGATGGCGGCGCCAGGTGGTTGCGGCTGGTGTTACGGCGGACGGATTTAGGCGTCAAGGTGTGAAGTCGCGTAGCTCGAACCGACCTGCGCGAGGGTTTTGAAAGAATTGTCGAATTTCACAAGATTTAAAGACAACCTGCTGAAATAGAGTAATCAAATTTCGCAAATGACGTTTATGAGGAAGCTTTCCAAATGCGAAACAGACAGTTAAAAAAAACTATTCTTTGAGGTCGACCGACTGCGTCTCTCAAACTCTTGATAATTTTACACAGAGAAAAATGAATTCAGCTTCAATTTAGATTACCTTTCGAATCTGCAAACTGGAGTCGGCGGGGGCCGCGGGACGTCGAGGCGGCGATGCGTCGGAGGCGTTGTCTCGAAGACGGGGAGGCCCGATCGCGAAGCTTTTGAGCTGAGGCTTTGCGTCGGAGACTGTGTCGGAGGAGAGGAGGACAGTGGCTGGTGTGGACGTGCGGTGGTGCCTGGTGGCGTGGGGTTGGCCGGCTGGGTGAATTTGAGAAGAGGAGACGGGAGAGCGATGCGAGGCGAAACAGATGGGTAGAATGAGAAAGAGAAAACCCTAACAATAATTAATTACTTATAAAATATATATATTATATATAACTATATATATTAAACAGTTGGGTCGAACCGGGGCCGGGTCGTTTTTCTAACGGATCAGATCATTGGATGGAAACAAAAGGAGTACAGATCATTTGCTTTTTTAAATTTTGAGTTTGTTGGGAAACATTTATTAAATAAACTTTTGATTTTTGAATGCAAAAATCGTTTGGATAAATGTTTGCCCTTGTGCTAAATTAAGAATTGATTCATGGTATATTGTTTTATTTGCTTATCTATAAAGTCAATTATATACCACTTTTTTGTTTTTTTTTTTACTCAAACATCAAATTTCATTAAAAACTCATAATATACATACACTTAACCAACTGGTTATACAACAAATACCTCAAACACAAATTTGAGGAAAATGAAGACATGAGGAGCTAACAGCAACTCCCCCACAAGACCACATGGCCATGACAACACCAAATACAATAGAAACCAAAAACTAGCAACTAAATGACAGACACAAAAGAGCAGAATTCAACGTAAGAAATCAATTGAAATATATCTTCGAGCAGCACTGTGAATACATCATCAAATATGACCCTTTCATTTAACCATCTTCTCAGCTGAGGGTTTTGAACACTGATTTGCATCTGCTGTCATTTCCTCTCCTTGTTTTCTAGCAACCAGTCTCTTATTTGAAGGAGTATTGATTCCACTTAGCACTTAATAGTGTCCCTAGAACCACACCACTCACTACTCACTACATTGCTAAACAAATTCAATCCTTTACTTCTATAAAATGTACTTTATTGAGTAACTTAATTATGGATAAACTCGTTATTAATTTAGCATCAAATATTAATATTTATTTTTTACATCCAAAATCTCATTTGATAAATGCTTCCAACAAGATGGATGACTTTTGAAAAAGTACATTAACAAATTATTTATTTTCTTTTTCCTCTTTAAAATAGCTTCTAAACAAGCACATTATTTCTTAATATCAAATAACTTCATAAGGATGAAGATAGAGTCGCGAACTCGGAAACCGTGTACAGTTCTAAAATAGCGGTGAGAACAGCGATGTTGTAACCTACACTATATAAAATAAACTAAGTTGCTCTACCCCACGTAATGAAGAGAAGACAACAAATCACGATTGTACATTTACAATAAAAATCAAGTTATAAATACCCTCACTAATCCCATACAGAGGCACCGACTCGAGAGTCGACGCACTATAAATTCTTGACCAGTGCCCATCGAAACCTGACCGTTTGAGGTACAATCGAATAAGGTGTAATCTCTTGTAACGAATAGTTCCACCTAGGGGTGTTCATCGGTCGGTTCGGTCGACCGACCGAACCGAAATACAAAAACCGAATTGCAATATGTCAAAAACCAAAACGACCGACCGATGTGCTTAAAACCGAAACATAACCGAACCGAATTATTCGGTCGGTTCGGTCGGTTAACCGAACTCTAACAAAAACAATCTTTTTAGGATTGTTTACCACAAATAAAAAAAACAATGGATACAGAGTATAGACTGAACAAATAGTGTAAAACCCTCATTCCAGCTTGTACAAATCTCAAGATTCTGTGCTAACTATCCAAATCAAAATTCAGAACTAAGCATTATATTCTCCCAAACGAATCAGAAAATAAATCTCACAAACATACATGATTAACAGAATCAGTCAACATATACATCTCACAATTCACAAACATACATTATCTTCACTACAAGTTTGGAATTAGAAAATAAAACAAAAAAAGACTTCACCTTGATTTGAGATGGAACTGAGATTTTTTGGAGGGACGAAAATTTGGTAAAAGACTTTCGCCCTTGACGGTGAACTGTGTGCCCGGCTGAAACCTCCAAGCTCAGCGCCCTCGACCGACGAATCGACTACCGGCGACAAGGAGGAGTCGCAGACGCAGCTACTTGAACCGGAGAAGACGATTTGGTAATTAGGAAATCGAAACCGACCAAATTAACCGAACGATTGGGGACTGAAAACCGACTACCGACCGAGTCGAATAAAAACCGAACCGAATTGGTCGGTTCGGTCGGTTTCGGTCGGTTCGGTCGATTTCAGTCAAATTTTGCACACCCCTAGTTCCACCTTAGTTACTGACACAAATTTTTCTTGATCAATTACTGCATAATTGCGCTTTAAAATGTAACGTAAATTAGAATTTAAGTGCATTGTTAAAACTTAAAACACAATAAACAAAGAAAGTTTTGAGGTCAACTTAACACATGGCCACCAAACCCCATCAACAACCAAAATCCACTCCGAATGAAATGCTTGCATCATATTGGCTGAATTGCATTATTTCCAACTCATCCCCTCAAATGATCAGCCTTATTGGCTGAATTGCATTATTTCTAATTTTAGTGACGTTCGCCTTTGTCTTCTCAATTCCAAATAATCACTGGTGCAGACTTGAACACCATTTTCATATCATAATAATATTCGAATCGGTGCAACTGATTTATTTATTTATATAAAAATAAAAAAAATTAAGTGGACATAAATAAAAAAAAAATAAAACAAGTGGAAAAATATCAAAAGCACGTATTCCCAGAATACGTTTTTTAAATAAAAACGTATTCCTAAAATACGTTTTCAAAAAAAAACGTATTCTAATAATACGTGTTCATTAGAAACAATTAATTAAGGTGATTAACGTAATTAAATTAATTAAAATAGCTTAAAAACGTATTCAGGGAATACGTTTTCGGTTAAAATATTTAAAATTAATATTTTTGATTTTAAAAAACTTATTTTTTTGGAAAATAATATTTGCAAAATTAAAACGTATTTTGAAAATACGTTTTTGAATCTAATTTTGCCCCAAATTGATTGCGCCCTAATTTTATCCCCAAATCGATTTTGACCTAATTTTACACAAACAAAAAACGTATTTTGAAAATACGTTTTTGAACCTAACTTTGCCCCAAATTGATTGCGCCCTAATTTTATCCCCAAATCGATTTTGACCTAATTTTACACAGTACAAAAACGTATTTTGAAAATACGTTTTACTGTGCAAAAACAGCAATTCACAGAAACAAAATTACAAAAATACACCTGTTAATCGAGATCGATTCCACAACCAAATATAAATTCACAAAACCCATATCAACCATGTCAAAGAAACAATAATGAAGCACAATAATTCACTTTCCAAATATAAAATTCCAAACAAGTTCAAATATCATTACACATAAATCCACGAAAGAAAAAAATAAATATATATGTCTACAAATTGTCTCCGAATACAACACAACTAACTAGGAGTGTATCGATTGGTAGGGTTGCGCGGTCGGTTGCTAATCCGACGTTGTGGTGGTTGTGCAGAAGACGATGCTGTGGGTGTGGTAGGTTCTTGTTCTTCTTCTTGAGCTGAGTAATTAAGTTTTTTAAGAAATT